TGTATATATATATATACACATAAAATGAAATAGAAGGCAATGTAGTATCTATATCATATATTTCGATATTATAATGTACCAATAGAGACGTCATTTATTTGAGAAAGAATAAGATCGCAGATTTTGCGTAGCAGGATCCGCAGCAGCACCTTGACCAGATTGCTGCCCAACAGACCAAAACAGAAGCGAACTCAAGGTGGACTGGAGTTGAATTTTGAGTTTGATCTGCTCTCACAGCCTGCGTGCTTCCTTCGTCGGAAATGGAATCGAACTGAGCCCGAGCGCTAGTGCAAGCAGGGCGCTTGCTGCGTCTCATTTTCGTCCATCTCCCTTGCCCTCATTACAGGCAGATTCAGATGAACTGAACTTCGATCTCAATCCGAGTTCGACCATACGCGACACGGAACCACCAGGTCTCGCTAGTTCAACCCTTCAACAGGTTGCAAGAGTCAACATGACAAAACGATACGTGTGATAAGTAGTTTCACAAATTCTCATCACGTCTCGTCGCGGCTTTCGTCTACCCGAGCACCAGTATTCGGAGAGGGGTGACCCAGGCGTGGGCTGAAGCGAGCATCCATTCAGCATGAACCTCACATCTCCTGCCTTTCAGTGTGTTTGCGCTCATCATGGACCCGAAAGCTCGAAAATTGATACATAGAAGAAAGAAGCTACGAGTCTTACCAACAGCATCAACACAGGAAACGCTCGGGGCAATCTGAAACTTCCGTGAAGTTGGCTACGACCCTAGACTCACCAACAGACTCTGGAATATCAAAAGCTGTGACCTGGTAATTTGCACGGCCGTAAGGTTGCTAGACTGCGACGAAACTATTGGAGGCGCGCTCGACTCGGGTGCCACTTAAGAATCAGTTGTCAGTCGCGGTCTAGCAGTGGCGGTTGCGGCTCCAGCTGGAACTGTGATTCCAACTCCAGCAATGCTGCAACAGAAGACAGTGAGATCGCCCAAGTAATGACATGGCTAAACTGCTTTGGACAGCAAGGTGTCAGACATCTAAGCAGCCCACTGCAGCCTTATTTTAAACAAACTGAAAGGAGAAGAGCACAGAGTCTAGCAAGTAACACGGCAACAGAAAGTGTGATTCCAAGTCGCTGCTTCCACCATTTTGTATACTTTGACCTGGCAGACCGAAGCTTTGAAGCCGGTAACGTGAAGTCATTATCCAGTCGAGTACTGACGAGGAGGGCAAGCTGGCATTCTTAGACCGTCACAGAGTTCAGCCGGGGCAGTCTTCGGTGCAAGTTTCAGTTGTCTTCAAGACATTATCTCCAGATCCCATCTTCGTCTCTTCTTTTCTTCTTCTAGTCGCACACTGTTCAAGTCTGGGTTTGAGTGAAAGACAATGCTCACCCCTTGTGATTTGGGAATACAAATCTGCGCAGTAGAAGCAATACATCCATGTCTGGTTCCATTGCACTTCTATCGCATCCTCAGAATGGCCTTGACATTCTTCTCTGCCATCATTTCTGAAAACTCGTCCAGGGCCTCTCACGCTGGAAGCAGGGAGGTGTGACTTCGACATGGAGCGCCTAGGACAGAGTTGCAAGAAGGGGCACAGTTCATCCGCAACCTCTCCTTCAACCCCGCCATGCGAGATCACCAAGTCCCGTCTTCCAGCCTTGCTGTAGTCAGCCCAGTTACCCCCAGCCAGGCCGCAGCCGATCCTTAGTTGAGGGCCGGAGCAAGCAGCGAGGGCAGGGCGTGGAGATAGAGATGATCCAGCTTCAACTTGTTTCCATCACAGTTTTCCAAAGTCCCATTATGTTTAGCTGCTTAGCTGGTTACCAATCAGCTTCAAGCTCCAACTGCTCGGCATGTCTGCCAGGCGACTGGTGAGGGAAGGCGATGCTCTCAAGGCCCGGGATCTCTGCAATGTCGAGAAGACCCTTTCGAAACCATTCCATGCGCCTCGGCAGGACACAACCGAAACACTCGCATCAGCCTGTGTGTCTTGCAGATTCGGTGCAACACTGGGTCAGAAGCATGCGGAGCCCCAACGGCTTGAACTTCGACAAGCGGCTGCTTCTCATCATCAATCACACCCGGCGCAGCCTTCCTACCTGAAGCCAGAATGTTCAGTAAGAGACGCGGGGATCGAGCAAGGTTCGGGGCATTTGGGGCAGAGCTTCTTCTCCGGCCGTACAGGACCGTTTCGTCAACTATCATCAAGGCAAGCCTTTGTTGACAAAGACCTATTGTCCTGGCGTGTCTGAGCCCGACGATGCCTGTAGCAGGCACTGACCATGAATCAGACGCTATCGGAAGCTGGCCTTTGTATTCCGCTGTCGCGGGCCCGGTGCGAGGTTTTCCAGGGGCCCACTGGCCGAAAAGGTTTATCACGCCTCTCCTCGGTTCCAAGGGTGGAGAACACATCTACTGCTCCATGGCGACATGCATGAGGGGATGTAACAGGCGGTAGTGATCTAAGCGCGAGTAGTGATTCGCTGTGAGACTCTGAGCTCTTGGCTGCTCTTGGCCTGTCGCAGCACAGGGTCCGCCAAGAACGGCAATCGTGCCGGGGACGTCGCCGCTCTTGTCCGTACCGCGGTCCTGCCTGCACGGGTGCTCGTGCCCGTTCGGGGAGGCAGCATCAGCGTAATTAAGCTTTGAGGGACTATGCGCCGTTGAAACCTCGTGCGAAGAGCAAAACCTGAGATTGCCAGTCTCGCAAGATGTCCCGTTTCCATGGTTTCCACTAGAATGCAGCCCCGCCAGATTACGCAGCTGGAACACCAGACCAGGGCCGCTTTTCATGAGGAATAAGCTTTGGCTTTTTGGGCGTGTGCTCTTTGCTGCCTTCATGCAGAAGGACTCTTGAGAGATGGACGACAAGGTGCGGTTGGTGCAATGATGTAGGGGTTGGGACACTCTCGGACCAGGGCTGCTCTAGATAGCGAGCCTGGCAGAAGCCTTGTAGACGTCCGCGTGCGGAAACTTCTCCGCAATTGCAGCTGCTAGACCCGCTGCATAGTCCGTGACGCAGTTGGACTGCTGCACAATGTACTGCTCCTGTCAGGTCTCATACGGGTGACATCGCTTTTGACCGGTCTTTTCCTACGGCTTGATTGGGGTTACAATGGGTGAGGAAGGCCTCCCTCAAGAGCTCCGGAGGGACATACAGATGGTTGCAGTGCTACTTTACCGGCGACGTCGGAAGTTGACTGGATTCCATGCGACAGGGCCCACCCTTCGGAATCGAACCACATCGTTTCTAGACCTTCTTGAAAGAGCTTCAGACAGCAGGTCCTCACAGGAGAGAAGATCTCCCGACACCTCCTCGACCGGCATGGGCCTTCACGACTAAGGAGGCGTACTAGGTAACCCAGGCCAGTTTCTGGACTGAATGGGGATCTTTTGTGGAGCGACAGCTACGCAAGCCTCATGTAAGGACAGGCCTGGGCGACGGGATCGCCGCAAAGCGTCGCACTTTGCTGAAACTAAACTTCTAGTCAATACCATCGGAAGGCTGCCTGATTGCCGCCACAGGGCTGTGACGTTTAAACTACCTGCATCTTGTCCTGCCAATGCGCTTGTCCTCTTACGTCTGAGCCACACGGCTAAACAGGGACCGGCCACTGCGTGACACAGCCCGAAACTGAAGTGGCGGGAGCCGGGCTCTGGGAACGGGGTTGCTTCACCCCGAACATTTGGCATGGGTCCTACGATAGTGAACGGTAAAAAGTCACAGCAATGAAAGCTGTCGCTGAAGAATATGTATTCTCAAAGCATCATGTATGCAGGCTGCTTCTTGGCTTCGCTCTGGGCGGATGGCACTACCCTCGTCTTTTAAAATCCAAGTTGACGTCGGCACGTCTCTGCTTGCCAGATTCTCGTCCATTCGGCCAGAAGCTGCTGTACAGGGGTGCTCTCGGATCGCAGCTGCATGCCTCGCTACACCTGGCCTGTGTGCTGCAACTTGCACCTAGTAGCAGGAGTGATGTGAGCAGTCAAGAGTCAAGCTCGCTGTCCGACTTGATAGCTCTCTTGGGCGGAGTCGGCGCCCGTCACGCCGTGACCCTTGGAAGACAAGGCTTGAGCTAAGGCTTTCTCAGCTGTCGACTCTGCACACATCGCTTGTCTTCGATTGTAGACACCAGCAGATAACACTTGGATGCCCATGGATGCCCAAGCCTCGCTGAAAGAGTGCACACCATCCAGGGCATCACAACTGAACTGTGACCTGAGCCTGAACCACAAGCCTCAAGCGAACTCCGCGGCGATCCTTCACTTCGCTCGCAACTTGTATACAACTGATTGCCCCTGTACTCCTGAGACCCTGGCAGCGCTAGCAAGGACGCTGAGCGCCACTCGGAGGACTTCGCATCTTTCTTCAAGACCTGCTTGTTCGTCTCAGGGAAAGATCCAGCAGCTTGTGTCTCCAGTTGCAAGATTCCCCCGGCCCCGATCCCTGCATCCCATCTTGCTGAAGCTATGCAGCCATTCGCTCTAGCGGCTCTGTTGGATCAAGCCAGGAGTGCAGGGCGAATGTCTCGGATGTTGGATCGGGCTTTGGGACTTCGCAGCGACTGACTTAAGGAGTCTCTTGCCGCTGCCGCTGCTGAGATGTTGCCCGGCTGGACTTCGGCTTTCACGCCCCGCGCTCTAGCCGAGGCAAATGACGGAGTCTGTTAATGCCCATGATTTGCTGCATGCCTTTGTGCAAGCACCGACTAGTTTCATCCCTACGGCACCCTTTATCGGCAGCCGGGGAAGCCCGAGACAAGGACAATAGCTGTCCGTATGATAGTTGTAGCTATGACAATAAGTGAACAACCGTCACGCTGAGTAGGAGCAACAACTATGCTAGCTCGACCGAGACCGCTCATCACTGCCCTTGGAATACCACCTAATCAGACATGAGAAGCACTTGCTGACAGCATCAACTTTGTTGTAATCCTCGTCAGCATACATCTAACCGTCATCATCCTCCGGAAAGCCTTTGCTGCTGGATCGAAAGTCGCCAGAGCTGTGGCGATGTCATCCTGCAAACACATCTCAGATTCGGAGACAAGTGCTCGAAGCAACATACCTCAGCGTTTTCTGCAAAGGATGTGCAAGGCATGGCTTAAGTTACTGTAGCAGACTCAGACTCTGGCAACAGCAGGAGTCTGCTCCAAGCTGGAACCATGGCAATTTCTTTGCAACGCATTGTCGACATAGTTCATTCAGCCACTTCCAACATTTCAGGCAGGTATGCCGTCACAGCCTTGAAAAATACACGCTGAAGATTTCTGGCCCTGGTTGTAAAGCCAAAGCCCAATACTGAAGACTACGACTCCCAGCTCCACAGGCTCCACATCTCCTTCATCTTTGTCTTCAACTTGAAGTGAAGCCGCACTCTGGCCTCATCTTAGCCTGAAGGACTGTGCGATCCGTTTCCCGTGGTACTTCGGATGGGCTTGCAGGCGGATTTCAGTGATTCAGGTTTTGGCAAGCTCGAAACCCCCTTGCCTTTTGGGAAGGTGGAACATTGTTGAATCACCGATGTTCACCGGTCGGATCCGTGCTTGAGCCGTCTGAAGACGCTTTGCACTGAGGGACCTGGAGTACTGTAAGTTGAAGATATTGAGGAGCGGAGGAATCTTGAAATCATCTGACGATCAAAACGCGTTCCAGTTTCAAACTCAGAGGGTGGAATGTGTCTCTCAAACATCCACACATCCCACAAATACACCTTTAACACTCAGCATTGCATAGCCAACACCCTAGAGCCTGAAGTTCTAAGCCGGCAAAGGCACTCATGCTTGATGTTGGGGGTAGTTTTCCTTCGGCCTTGACATCAGTGTCTTCCACAGCCGCATTAAGAGCAACGCGGGAGTTGAGAAACCTTGCGAGCCAGTGGGCCGATCATGCCTTTGTCGCGGCAAAGATGATCCCGTTACAAGGATTATCGTTTGGGATTCCTCGCCCGACTACATCCCATCTGGAGCCCTTGGATCAGAAGCACGGCAAGGCCAGAGCCAAGCGCTGCTGGTGATGGTGTTCACGACATGGAAGCCATGCTTCCTCCTGCAGCATTCGGCTGGAGGCCGACTCGCCGGCTTCTCTCGTGATCTCCATGTAAAACCATAGCCGCTGAAGCAAAGGCACGATTCGATCTGAGAGCTGGCGAGGCGCTGATAAGACCACGATTTAAATGAGAAACCCACGGAGCGTTTCCGAGACTCCCTGCTTGCCCCCCTGCGGAAAATTTGCACCTTGTAGTGGTAGTGCCGTTAAGAAGTCGTGCAGCAGGGCCATGCCTTCGCAGGAAGGCTCTTGCAGTATCTCCCTGCTTTGCCTCATGATCTGCTGGACCTTGCACAACAAGCTTTGTTGTTTCACTCAGGTCCCTTGCGATTAAACATGCTGCACGTGCGTCTTTCGTGGATTTCTGCGACCTGTATCTGCCAGCATCTTTGCTGGAAGCCGTCTTCAAGCTCATATCTTCGAGACATAGAAACCCCCGGAAGCCGTCTTGCAAGAGAATTCTGGGAGCCGAAATCTGGCGCATCCCGAGCTTCACAACAAACATATTGGACACGTCCATTCAGCTTTTTGCCTTGCGAAGTGAAAACCTGAAGAGATCGATCTTATGTTTACTGTCTCGCACTCTAAACCGACATAGCTGCCACCATGGCCGCTGCCGAAGGTTCTGCCGCAAGGCCAAAGTCTGAGGTAGCCCCTACTGTATGGTCATTAGCCCAAGCAGCCGCAACTGTCCCAACATGCCCTGGCACTGGCATGTTGACGTTCTCTTTGAGTTTGCTGCCTCGCTGGGGCGTCTCCTCACTCAAACCTGGCGGCATATTCTGTCGCCCTCCTTCGGGGGGCGAGGCAAATGACAGCCAGCTGCAGCAGGAATGCCACTTGCACTACAGGTTCAGGGCGTAGCACATCACGAGAGCAGTGTGAGTCACTGGATGCAGCCTGTGAAGTGCGCAGCAAATGCTCCAGGGTTCCAGTGCGATTGCCCTGGCAATGGGATGCAAGCCCAGGCCACAGTCGAAATCAATTTAGGGAAAAGCTTCACCAAACTTGTTAACGGCCTGGTTTCCGAGCCGTCTTATGTGCACCCTGTCCGTAAGGCTCTGTCGGAAAAAGGCAAGAAGGGCAATGGACAACAGGCTGCGAACTCCAGGGTTTTTGCGGTGATGTTTCACGTGTTGGACTGTCAGAGCTGCTACTACTTTATGAATGGAGTTCTATTTCCTCCGAGCCTCAGATGCTGGATTGCGGACCCTGATAGGATGCCGTATAGAAAACAGGAACCCCACTCAGCACGAGTCTGACTTTTGCCTGCGCGGACAAAGGATTGGAGCTGTCCGTGCGGAAGCAAGGCCTCGGGCTGCGAGCACCACGCAGATTCTATTGCAAATTGCAAGACCACGTCTGCATGCTCATTCAGAATCATACAGTTTTGCTACACTTCCAGACGCTTCGTGGATGAACGACGAAGTAACAGGCACTCAAGGCGAGCATGCAGCACCATGCAGAACCATCGAGCAATCCTTCGCCTCTTGCGGAGCAGGCACTCACGGCACGCACCAAGGAGCTGACGAAATTTTTGAGGCCATATGTCTGAATATATTCGGCGAAAGCATCCTGGCGCTGAGCTGACAGTATTTGGATGTATTTGGGCTGAAAGCTTCCAACAGTTCCTATCATGCTGAACGTCGACGCACCTTGGTCTGTAGTGGACTATGGTCTATGCCAGTTGTCTGGGCCTGTGCATTTGCAATGCCTCGCACAAGCAGGCCTGGTCCCAAAGGCCCGTGATGCGCGGCCTCACAAATCGTGAGGTCAAGACGCGACTGGTCAAGGCTTCTGCGTGCTGCTGCATAGAACAGACTCTGCGAAGCAATTCAACCCACTGCAGAATTTATGCCAAATCGTGCTTCTTGGCTCAAAGGCGGTCCGACTCCAACACATCCCGAAAGGGCTTGGGTCACGGCAACCACGCATTGCCATCGATGAGCTTCAGGCGTCGCCCTGCCGGTGTGAGGCTGAAGCTTTGCCCATCACGCGATCTCTGCTACTAGTGGTCGCCCTAAGTCGCG